CTAAAAACTTATGATCCTCTGATTAAAAAAATAAAATGAAGCCGTGATCACCACAAAATTCTCCCCCAATTTAACGATTGGTGCGCCATCTTTTACTGGATGCATACCCTCCCCAGACTCCTATGGCCGTGCTAACACCACCAAATTTGCATATCGAGTCCCCCACATCACTCGTCCCATGATTCGCATGTCACCGAGTAAAGGAGGGCTTTAAGTTTGTGTGTACTTTTCTATTAGAATGTAATGAAGTTGTATGGTCGAGTAATGATAAAGATTGGTTTATTGAAGTTTTGGTGTTAATGTTTGATGGTTGTGTTTAATACTAGAGAAAATCAAATGTCGATATTTTCTTGGTTCGATGTGATGCAATTGGATAGATGTTTAACCATTGCTACCCTCCAGGTGCGAGACGCAGTTTATAACCTTGGGAAACAATTGAAATGAAAGGGGAGATGTCCCCTTGTAAAGCCTGATAATAAGTTTGTGAGATAAGTTTTTCCACAGGCAAGGAAAGTAAACTCAACCGGGACCGTTAATTTGGGCAACTTCTCCGAAAAAGCTTAGTTAATAATTGAGGAGAATATGCTACCTTTCTATAACATCAAGAAATGCATAGACATTCTAGTCTTCTCGGATAAGGACGAATAAACCGTAGGTCCCGTCTCCTGCATCTTTACTGAATTAGATAATTTGATTAGGCAGGGGACGTTAAAGAACGCACATCGCGAGATTACTGTGATATGGTCTGGCCTGGTTACTGGGAATTGGGGGGAGGGGGCATCTGTAAAAATTCGCCTTTGTTGATTGTAAACTGCCACTGGCAGTCTGATAAAGTCCCCCGCACAGTATTGTAAAGCGCATGTGATCATATCCGTATGTTAATTTGCGCTATCTAAATGTTAATTCATTCATTCATTTACTTTGAAAGATGAATTGATGTTCATTCTGGTAACATAAGTAAACAAGGATCATCGATAAGCTTCAACTAAAGCGCGAAAATTGAGAGAATGTGACCAATTAACTTTGTTTCCGACCGTCACACCACCCTTTGTAAAGTAACATCCATCACAAAAGATTTCGTCTACTTGGGCACAGAAGTTAGATGGTATCTTTACTCTGGCTAATTAGAATGAAACGAAAAACCGACTCAACACCAAGAAGAGAACGGCTTGTCTATTCGTTAGACCGTTCACCTTCTAACTATGCGGTAGAGCCTCAACTCACCACATGTTCTTAATTTTAGTTGCTCCATGATTTTTCTCTAACATTTTTAAGATTTCTCTATCTTCATAAAGACTGACACTTCTAGTTCCTGGTTCATCTGGACACAAGTAAGGTAATAGCGAGTTATGGAACACTTTCCCTGGTAGATGGAGTATGTAAGTTAGTTTTCCTTTTAATTTTCCCCTACTTACCCCGGCTGGAAGTGTCGGATCCGATTTCTTGGAGAGAAGAAGTTTAACAATACCATCAGAGCCAGAACATGCTGCATAATGTAGAGCTGAGCGACCCCCCTGCAAGGATAAAGAACGAGAAAAATTTGAGGGGGGATTCTTGCTGTTAGACCTGAATGTTCACGGTAAAAGGTAGATACCTAGCAAAAGAGGGAGTGAATGGTCGCGAATGGAGAAGATTGAAATGGACTGCAAATAACGAACTTCGAAACTTTAAGTTACCCTTTCACTCCTACGTATGACCAGCATCTAATTTCTCCTTACAATATCACCCCTGAACCAAACATTAAGGTCAGGAGAATAAACGAAATGATCCCGAACTCAAGAAGCTCTTGATTGTTCGACAAATTCTCCATCATAAGTAACACAGGAAATATATAGAGAACAGCATGGAGAACTTGCATACTGATAACAAGGTGTAAAGTGCTAAATTTTTCAAGATTCAGAGTCCGTGACGAATCTCCGTGTTCCATGCAGTGCAGTTCATTAGATTATAATCTTGGAATCAGACTGATTGTCGTTTGTAAGCCTGGTGGGAATGGTAAATCTAAGAGAGCAATATAGATCTGAACAATAGTCTTTACTCTTACCAATGGTTGGGCTTCAGATCTTAAAAATAAAGATTTCTTGACGGTTGAAAAGAAAAATATTGATTCTTCTTGTGATCAACTGACTCAATGGTATATATATCTATTATTATTCAACTATATATCCTTCCAAAACTGTTGTATTATCTATCTTGCGTATTATCTAGCGATTATTTTTAGTCCGATATTAAGCCTTATGAGAAAAAATTATTCGCTTTATCATTTTACCGACACTTTTACCGTTTCAAGTCGTTATCACGTAATTCATCCCATCAAATCGCACAATCATGAAAAGTTTTGGACTGTGAAATGGTGTTTGTATAGTTTTTGGATATTGCGGTCATATTGCACTGGCTAGTCGTGATTTGTACGTGCGACTGGTTCCCCTCACAAATACGTAGGTTGCCACGGTAGAATAAGAATAAAATCTGTCGAATTTTGGCTCCTCATGAAACTTTCCTTCAGCTGTAAGCATCTTATGCCTGATTGTAACACTTAACTTTTCATGTGCCAAATTGTATGGATCAGCATAATTTATGTTTGCTTCTCGCAATTCCCCTCTTTCGCTAAAGCGACTGATTATCGATTGATGAAATTCGACGTCTGAATCAATCAACGATCTTTATCACTTGGGTCTAAGTAAATGGGTACTCGTGTTTGCAACTTGAAAACTTCGACGTTTAAAGCGAGCTTTAGGCTACACGAAGGTCAATAAATATATCACCGAAGGGTGACGGCACTGAGGTGGGGATTTCTTGACCGTATTAAAGGCGCTATGCAATCACCAAGAGTGGATCATAATCTAACCAAAGTTGACTTTGAGCATGTTCCAACCGATGAGTTACTGAATTACCTTCCAGAAGCTTTAACGAGGAATGATAATTTTTGTTACATAAATCACTACTTCGCGCGTGTCGTGTGTCGCTGATGAATTTGTCAGGAAAGATGAAAAACTGTCGGTGATGAAGAGCGCCGAACAAATACAAAGTTTAGTTCATACTTTCTCATTTTATTCACTGTCTTCTTATTTATCCCACGAAGAGAGAATTGCAGTATTTTTAACCCGGCTCGATTTTTGCAGAACTTTTATTGCTGAATTTAAAAAGCCAGCGATATTAAAAAAGAAACGAAAGAAACCATGAGAATTCCAGACCATTTCCCTCTCTTCTAAAGAGGGAAACGGGAATCGCATAAAATTTAGAGAAGCTTGACCCAAAATCTTTCTCAAATTTCCTATAATGACAACATTTTAAAATATTTTATGGCCCCAAATCGTTCAGTCTTCTCCAACAAAACCTCATTTGACACGAACTATTCGTTCTGTTGACCAACAGCAAGACTTAAGAATAAAAAACCTTTTAATATGCAAGCAAAACGTAATTTTCTTGCACGCTTGAAATTAGTTGAAAAAAAAATAGTCGAAGCAGTGAATTGCAGTAGACATTGCGAGTTACTTCTCGTGAAGAGTTTATGGTGGCAATGAATGTGCGAAGGTACTAATATTGACTTTCTTGAACTAAAGAACTGAAAACTTGAGCAATTTGTGTTCAAAAACGATTCTCTCTCAGAATCCTGTCATTTTGTAAAAGTAAATGTCGGAAGACGTCTCCAAATAAAAAATAGGTTCTTTTAGCTCTGAATACACTTTGTCGAAATACAAGCGCTTCCGTCTTTGATTTTGTATTATTGTAAGCGATCATTTTGTTTGACATTCAAGACACCAGACAAAGACTTAAACGTCAAGTATATAGAAAATGATAAAAATGGGCTTTTAATCTTTTTTTTTTTCTTTTCTTGGCCGAAATCGTATCAGCAAAGACTTACTTCATAAATTTAATGAAGATGGTATAGCATGCGTAATGAAATTTGCTTATTCGGCTCGATTCCACTTAGAAGTAATTATAAAGATAATTCTTTTTATCCAAAGATGTATACGAAGGACAAATACATGTCTTAAAATGGGCGAGAGATGGTCAAGAAGATATGGAATAGCCAGGAAAAAGATGATAAAATTACGAGCGCAAATTTAATTTCACCGCGAGCTGGCAAATTTTGGACACGTAAATTGTTACTGTAAACAAGATGAAAAGCCGTATTCAACTTTGAGAATACTTTATAGTCTTTTTGATATCAGAAAAAAAGTCTCTCGCGTAAAGGTTGACATAAGAGAAATGACTATCTTATTTACTTTGGAAAAATTTCATCTCGTCTTAGTTTCAGTTAATAAACAGAAAGTGTATATTTTTGGTTAACAGACAATTAGAGCCCAAGCTCACATTGGCTGAGGTTGTTATTTCATTTTCAAATGACAATCATGGCAGAATCATTTGTAGCGTTTTTGAATGGTAGATTTTAAAATGACTTCTTGTCAACAGTTCATTTTTCAAAAGGCGGAAATTTCTTTCCTCGGCAAAAAAAATCACTTAATAACGCACGATAAACATGGAAATTTGAAAGAGAAAAGGAAGAAATCAGAGTTCTTTAGGATGCGGAAGGAATTCCCACGCGATCACAAGGTGGTTACCGTTTGAAAACATTGAAAATCAAATATATGCGGCGATACTGTTCAACAAAGAAACCTAGATGTAAAAGAAGCGGCGAATCCTAAGCATGCTTAGTTGCCCCGTATATTGACGATCTCGATAACAAAATATCTGTCTCGCAGATAATTTTATGAGAGGCAAATTTACATAACCACCGATTCATTTATTTCATGGCGAGAGGAAGGCACGAACAAAGTAACTCTGCGTGTATTTAACTGAATACGTTTTGAAAACAATATTTCTTTAAGAACGAGGGGAAATATACCTTCCGCTCAAGATAAAAGAAGCCTTGACTGAATATTGTGTTAAGAGATATACGGGAGTAAAATATTTTTCCGCAAAACAAAACCACAGACAGATCAACTACAAGTTAAAATGATCTTATCACGAACCAATTTCGTAAACCTCAACAAAGTCATAATTGCTGCGAGGAAAAAAAAAGACTAGATCACGTGACAGAGTTTCGCGAAGACTACAATATTTATAGTTACCAAGATATGAACAATCGTCTTAAAAATCAGCTGCCTCTCTCTCCAATTTGTCATCACCCTAGGCCATTTTTGTTGGCGTTAAAATCAACAAACAATACGTCTCTCAGAATTTCTTGCATAAAAGGAATTAAAGGCGACAAAATTTTTCCCTTCACAAACACATTTTGTCGTGCAAATTTTTTTCTACCAAAAGAAAGATCGCATAGTGAGCACAATTTGATGCTGGATATAAAAAATTTATGCAGCATCAATATTTGATCCTGATAGTTCGAAATTAAGAACCAGGTTTAAATTGCGGTTTACCGCTCCTTTGCAATTGTAATGTTTAACCATTCAAGGAGCGCCTAATTTTCCAAGGTGCGCTTCTGTTTTGTCCGAATAAATGACGAGAGGTTCCAATGAACCCTCTAAATTTTGACTCAGCTGATACGCATTTTACCTTTTTTTCTCTAGTTCAGCTGTGTTGATGCAGGAAATCCAATTTCAAGTTTCTTTTCTAAAAAACTACAGCAAAACAAAGGTAGCAGGCAAACATCGAGAGGTACTATTATCATTTTCTTATTTCAACACCCAAAAATTGAGAAAGAAAACGTGTTTCGTTTAAAACACTGCAAACAGACTTCCGTTAGGATTCTGAAAAGTTTGACCGAGTGTACAATTTATCTTGAGAGAAGCGCAATTTAAAACGCACATAAACTCTTTTATTGCATGTTTTCGTTTAGATAATAATTTTCGAGAATATCAAACAAAAATTGACCGCGTCGGTACAACGCATTGTACGAACGAAGTGGCCAAAAACAGTCTTCGCCAGTTCGAAAAGTGCGGTCAATAGCAATCCGGAAATTCACGGAGTCAAAATAACTTACCCCACATCTAAAAGTGCCCCAAAAATATTTTCCGTGAAAACTCCACCAATTAGACTATGGCCCAAAAGAGTCACCTTTTTTGATGCGGCAAAGCTGACAAAATGGCAAATCAATCTTTTGATTACCTCCTTGTGTAATTAAAGAAAATGGTTCGGAAAAACCTTGTCGCATTAACAAGTGAAGTGCAAGTGGACCGGAATTCGCCGCCTACCTTGTCCCTGTCTGTAACTACGGCGCCTAGTTCAAGAAGCTTTTCCACAATGTTATACTTGTTGTCACGGGCAGCCAGCATTAATGGCGTTAAGCCGTTGTCCTGTTAAAAAATATAAGGAAAAAGAGTAGAGAAATGATCGTTAGTAAAAAAAAAAAAAAAAATCCAACGAAAGGAAAGCAAGATTGAAGAGACAAACCTCAGCTTTCAAAGCCATGATTTTTTTAGAGACGCAACCAAACCAGTCGCACTGCACGCAATAATGAGATTTGCGCCGTGCGCAATCAGCACAAAACTGAATGGGAGCGAGTAGCTTGCCAGGCGAATTCAATATTCATTATTTCGACCACTGTGTATTAAGTGGATTTTAGCTCTTTTGCAGAGAGCGAGTTAAAGAAATTAAAAAGCCATTTAAGTCCAACGACGGTTTCACGGCGTAAGATTACGGAACAAAACTACACCATGATAAGAGCAGCGCAAAACATGGTATGCGGTCAGAGGAAGTCCTGCTGCTCGCCGCGTATGGCAATAACGAAACAATAAGAAGCTTTAACCAAAATAAGCGTTAAGGGTTTGGCTCAGAGGCGGTCGAGCCAAAGAGAGAAGGACAGTGTAACGAGATAAAACTGGTATTAAAAATCATAGTTCAATTATGAATCTGTGTCCAGGTGCTTACAACTTAAGACCGCCTAAGCTTTAATAACTAACTAGAGATCATTTCTAGTCCATAATTGGTATTGTTAGGTATCTTAGAGCTGCTCATCTACCCATCTTTGATCGTAAAACAGTCGGTAGGAACGACTGAAATTTGCATTTTCGAACCACGAACCATAGAGGTTGATACCCGATCGACGTGAAAAAAGATCTTAAAATTAAAAGAGCTTTATCTTTCCGCGGGGTTTTAACATTTGTAAGGAGAAAAGATTCAAATATATTCTTCTCATCATGGAAGGACCACTCATTACTTCGATCTCAGTCGACGATATTTCCATGTTGTTTCGTTCCAGGCTGTTGAGATGTTGATCCACGGCAGGCCAGTCTCCCTTTAAAGACAGTGTCAAAACGCGGTTTAAAAGTTCCCATCTGAGAATTGATGGTGGAGTTTTGGTATCAAAGAGTACTCTAGAGCCTCGTCGGGATTGGGTCTGAGAGACTACTGGGTCCGTCCCTGGGCTTGGCGGCCTTAGCGATGGTCGGCGGCTCGAAGAACTTGTAGACCCTGGTCCACCATTCGGCATTGCAAAGGCTCCGGAAAATTTAAATCCGTTCCTCACCACAGCGGGCTTCTACTTTTCATTAGCACGACATTCACTCCTTCATTCAAGTTTCCGTGAATAAATCAGTTGCCCCTTGTTGTTTATCAGGTCATAATTAGTATCATTTCGCCGAAACATTCCGCCATGTCGAAGGGTGATTTATGGATGCGCATTTTGTGGTTCAGATAATCAACAAAGCATCATTTTCTGGTGATTAAAGGTTCGAAACCGTGTTACGAAACTGCGCATGAGCGACAACAACAGCTTTGTTTTGTAATTATTGTTGAAAAGTAACTTTTGAAACAACGCTCTAATTTTCAACCCGAAAAAAAATCAAAGTAAATCTAAAACTCTTCGCCAATTAAATCCAAATTTATTTTTTAATACTTCCGAGTGCCATGGTTTTTTTCGTGAAATTAATTTTCAACCCAAGGAAGTCGTTGAAATATCAAATAGAACGGTGTATTGATGTGTAATCTGTCCAATGTTTCCGATTTATTTGCATAAGAATGGATGCGCCAACGACTTCGGACACCTAAAATCGTTTGGAGATTGTCAGGCGTTGTATAAACACATATATATAAGCGCGTCAATCTCCTCATTGTGCCGCGGTTTTTCTAGGAACAGGTGCGCAAATGAAGACGCGATAAAACGTGATATAAGAAACAGAGTAATGAGCAGTACATGACTTATTCATCGAATTAAAAAGAAAAATTACTCAGCGAATGTTTAAAAGTCAACTTGTCGAGAAACGTGTAAAACTTCCGTGCTAAATGATGTTTTCCTTGTCAAGGAAGGAGAGTATGTTTGTGAGGGTCTTTTGTTCGATATTTATCTTCTTTCCACTTGTAACGATCCAGGAGACCGTAGATTTGTTGTCACTATCGAGGATTTTCGTCAAACTTCACTGAAAGCAAAATGACGCGAATTCGGTCAAAGCTAAACAGAGCTTCAATTTCCTGCAAGCGTGCTATTTAAAACACTTAACTAACACTTAGAAAAAAACCTTCAGACTTTGTTTCATGGTCACGTATTTGGAAAGGAGGCTTTCAGAGTTCGTTTCTTGCATGGTCTATTCTGTTTTCTTCAAACAGCCGTTTAAGGCGGATTTTCCGCCTAATTTTCCGATATATTTGAAAGTGTTCGCGATCGACAGAAAAAAATGGTTGATTGAGTCATGTTCGCAAACGAGTGTCTTTGAACTACCAGTCAATTCTAGACGTCATAAAGATTGCAATGACGAAAGACTGAGGATGGGAATCATTTGGCTAAAGAACCTCAATAAGTGTTTCGCAATTTTGGAGTAAGTTCCCATTTATCGTATCATACAACAGGACCTTGTCCTAAACCCAAATAACTTATAATGCTCCTCCTCGAGATGTTAATCTTTCCAGACTTGACTTTTTTGACATTCCGAACGTCAGAATTTAGAATTGGTCAACTACTTTTGTTAAAACAACCTCTGGGCTCTCAAGTCAAATTATTTGCATTAGCTGTTAACAAAAGATATTCTGCTATTAAAAGACTCTGGGAGAAAGGTGAGAAAAATTACGGTTGTTTCTTTCTTTCTTTTTTTTTTTTTCTTCATGCACCGTTGCCATAAACTTCATACCTAGATTTACGTAAGCCCGGTTTAAAAAACAAAGTTGTTCAAGATATGCAATTTGCCATTTGGGTTTCGTGATGCTAACAACAACGTTACGTAATAAGATAAAGAACACCAGAGATAAATAGAACAAATACTGTTATCAAATGGCCAAATGGGGTTTATTTCAATAGGTAGCCTTAAAGTTGACATCTTTGTTGTACGTAAATGCAATATTTGCTTTCTGTGACTTAAGTCGAATCCATTCAATCGACTGAGTTGTTATTGGTCGTTGAGTTCTAACAAACATTACAGCAATGGGAAAAATAGAACTCAGATTTTATGCATTCAATAAAAGAGCTCTTAGTACCAAAACTGGCAAATATAGACTTGAATTTAGCTCACTGGAAAAACTGCAGTAGAAATAAGAACAAAGCGAAATAGGTTTTGAGTAATTACAACTATTCACCATCATGCTTCTTCGGATGAAGAAGATCAACATGCACCGTAGCAAGGACATGAAACTTTAAACATGTCACATCAAATCAGGTTCAAAATAACCAATCAACAGAAAGTAAACATAAACTTACTTCAGTGCAGTACAAGGACATCTCATTGATATATTCTGAGTCACTTATCCAGCCTCCGTGAAGGCGAATACCGATCGGCGAACGAGCGCGACCTCTAGGATCTTCAGGAAGATCCATTCTGCGTTTTCAGGGACTATGGTTCTGGAAAGTCGAGTTTACACCAACGTACACGCGAATTTGTTTTTCATGTGAATCTCAGCAATAAAATGGCAATTCTCGCGTTTTTGCGATCATGTGTCATAAGACAACGGATGACTTGTGTTGATAAAATGTTTGTCTGAGTTCAATGAAGAAAAGAATCCGGTCGAAAAAGACATCTCTTGGAATCACTCTTGCGCGACCTAAAACGATTGTTTTACATCCTAAAGTAATATGGCTCTAACGCAAACAAGAAAAGCTCGAGACAAAAGGCTGCTAGTCTAAAAGGCAGAAACTTTTGCTCTTTAGAGATACATCATTGTCGTTAAGAGCACCAAAGAAAGGTGTTTAGCTATGCATAAAATACTGCATTAAGTGAACGAACAACGAAGTTTTAGGGAAAGAAGAGGTAGTTATTGCAGGTGCACTTATATTAATGGACAGAACTGACAAATACATGATGTTTTAAAATGATCATCAAACACACCGAGTTATTTTAGAGTTCGTAACATCAGCTGTTTTCGAGCATGACAAAGGTGCACTAATTGTAAATAACCAAATGGTTCCAACATCACTAGTATAATGTAAGTGTCAAAATAGTACAAAAACTTACATAAAAGCTACATCATTCAAAACCATATGAAAAGAAATCTGTTCGTTAGTTCTGTTTTCTTTCGTGCAAGGAGTAAGCCATAATTTCAATCTCTATAAAGAGATCAGTGGTACATGTTCATTATCTACTAATTTTTTTCTTTTTTTTTGTTTTGTTTTGTTTTGTTTTTTGTTTCTGTTTTTTTTTCGTGTTATGCGGCGCATCAGCTCTTTCAACCTTGAGAGTGACCAGCAGCTAGTTTCTCATCAAGGTATCACTACTAATAAAATCATGATCGCCAAATAAAGGAGCTATCCTTTCAACTGTTAAACAAATTCTCCAAGTCATTACCATAGAAAATGTATAGAGACCAGTATGGAGAATATGTACACTGATGTTAGCGTTAAACGAATTCAGTGTAAACGGCCGTCGTTTGGACTTCTTGTCCGGCTCGTTCGTAGCTCAATCTTTATTCCGTTTTGATAGCAGACTGGTAAATGCCACGCATCTTCATGCAACTATTTTACTGAAGAAAAAAAAGAGCTGCTATTTCGTATTTTTCACTATGCAAGATCGCAAGTCTAGTGGTCATCAATGTCTCGTGGTTTTCACAGGAATGAAATCATTCGAGTAAATCGCCTGAGTCTGCAATAGGCCTTTTGCAGCTAGAGAACACGTGCTTAGATACCGCATAGCAACGCCATACCGGAGAGCAAGCACTCCAGTGATCTCAGACAGTATAGAGGTCACAGAGGTCTGCATTCAAAGAAAGAATACAGCGGATAACAGGTCAAAAGGTATCCCAATTCGAGAAATCCAGTAAGAAGTAATCAACAGCTTCCCCGGAGTGTATCAGCAGCAAAATCACACCAAAATTCGTTTTTCGCTGATACACTCCAAGGAAGCTGTTGATTATAACTTACAAGATTTCTCGAATTGGGATACCCTTTAACTTGTTATCTGCTGTATTCTTTGTTTGAATGCAGACCTCTGTGATCTCTATTTTGTCTGAGATCACTGGAGTGCTTGCTCTCCAGTATGGCGTTGCTATTCGGTATCTAAGCATGTGATCTCTAACTGCAAAAGGCCTATAGTGTACCTTTGGTCAGCGCTGCCCCTTTCAAACATTGCGAAGCCCGATTTATGGAGTAACATATTTCCTGCCGAGCTGTAAAAATTTTTTTCTCTATAATTTCATATCAAGAACTTGATTTAAAGACGTGAAGAAGACTCCAGACATTTCTAGAACAATCCTCCCTAAATATAAAAAGATCTCATACGGTTACATGCTTATTGCTTCAGAGAGCAGAGGGAAATGAAAGACAAGCTACGACCTACATAAATACCTTCTCCTCCTCCGTTAAATCATTCTTTGTCATAGCAGGCGGACCCCCGGAACCTCTTCGAGCCGTAACGTATTTTTTCAGAGAATCGGACACCGTTAGATTTTGGGCTTCGGTTACCGATGAGGACATGATTCAAGAAACAGCTCGCAAAAATATTATTCACCGATGAGCGATTCAATGAAGTCTATATCAACGTAGACTCTCTCTGCTGGATAAGAACATGTCATTTACTGGAGCTTTGCGCCAGAGGAGCAGCCACGTTTTCACAGCGTGGAGCATTTCTTCCTTCATGTTTCGGAAATTTTTGGGAAATGGATGCAGTTGTACCATCTTAATGAAACCGGCCAGGAGCAAAGGGGAGCTCAAACATTTGCAAGCAACCACGTTGCACAATAACAAACACTTTATAAAATTCCAATTTGCATTGTGGATTAAACAAAATTTAATTAAAACTCTCGAAAAAGAAAAACACTTCAAAGTAATTTAACCAGAATGGGCACAGCATCAGTGCTTTAGGTATTCAGTGATCCACTTTGTAAGGAAAAACTTTCTCTACACTTACAAAAAAAGAAAAAAAAAACATTATCGTTTGTCAGAACAGATATTATTTCGCTCATCGTCTCTTAAATTCTTTTGCAACGATAAACCTAAGGAGCCTAACCCAGCAAACACAGAGTAAAATTGACAAAACTAAGTACACAAACTTGCCTAATACCTGATATTCATCAGGTGTTTTAGGTTGCATTACCGGGGAGGGGGTAGGGCTTGTATGTACCGCTAGACAGGGAAAGCTTTTGGGAGTCTTAAGCCTTTGACAAGATGCGTGGTTTCTTTTACTGATTAGCGTCTTGAGAACATTTTTTT